TATGAGAACGCCCTCTGAGCATTTCAATCCTTTAGGTATGTGGATATGTGCTGTAGGGACACTTGCACAGGAGTTCCTAGATGTTACATTATAGATTTGAAATATATGGATCAAAGATTAAGTTTCATGATTTTCAAGTGTATTGAAAGCATTTTCATTTGGATTAGCTGAAGATCTTCTAGGAGTTTAATAAATATGGCTTTAAGATTAGAGTAATAATTTTAATGTATTATATTACTAAATGTAAAATTTTCCTCTCAGCCAGAGAGAAGGGCAGCCATTAGAGTAGTTGTTCATGAAACTTTATGTGACCTAACACATTATTTGACTTACAGACAAAGTAAGTATTCTTTGTTCCTTGGTATATTTCCTCCTATTCAATTGGGAGGAAATTTTTTTGTCCAAACCCATGGGCTGCAAATCCAGCCGGTAGAAGGAAATTGTAGACACAAGAGAAAGCAGGTGATTCCAAGGTTATTAACTTATCTACCATAAAAACTGTTAGCTAACCACGCATTCATCTTTCCTGCAATGTTGTGCTATGTACTGTATTGTTTTGTATTGTATTGTAAAAAAACCAAGCTATATTTGACCTGTATTTGAAACTGCCCCTACCTTCTATCCTTTAGCTATTTTCATAGATACATACATACATACATACATACATACATACATACATACATACATACATACATACACAGTATATGTATACAATATACACACACTAGCAAAATTCAGTATTTTTACTACATTGTATGTTTAATATCTACAAATTATTTCCATTTTTAACAAACATTGGATGTTACAGTATGATATAGCAATTAATATTTTAAATATAGATGTATTTTATAGAGGGTTTTCTTTTTAATGTAGATATTCTTGAATTAGTTAAACTTTCTAAACCAGATAGCATGTTACACAGAGATCTGACCTGAACGTAATACAGAACTATATCTTAGACCTGCGTGCTTCTACTGATTCCCTAGCCTGATCTTTGAAGAAAATCGGGGTTTTTTATTTTGACATTAACTAAATCTGAAACCAAACGAATCTTGGTTAGTCCTAACTCCTTATGAACAAATTAGCTTTAAATTGTCTTCCTTTTTTAAAGAAACTATTTATTTAGATTCAGTTATAGTAATAAATCATTAATTATTAAAAGCAAAGAGGAGAGAATGTTTATTGCCAAGGCTCATTTTCGTGATCCCAAAACATAGATTAGTATTCTAAACCAGAATCTCCTTGATTTTGTCCTCTAGTTTGTCTGACTCAGTTCTATTTTGTATAATTCCTATTTCCCATGCTTCTTCTTTTTTCAACAGATATTGAGTTTAGCTCAATAATGTGTTAACAAATTAGGTGGCCCTGAGAAAAAGTTCAGTATCAACGATTTTTTTAATAAATATTTTTCTCCTTGATCCAGTGAATCTTCATTCTTCCCTCTTTATTTTTGCTCACGTATCAGTACCATATTTGTATCAATTGATTGCTCTATTGTTAACAGTTTGCTATTCACATAGCATATGGGACTATTTACCCTTATTTGCGAATTTATAGCTTCTTTCATAGTTGTTTACATATCTGGTTTAGGGCAAGCCAGGTTGGCATATATAAGGATAAAAAGCTGTAGCAAAATGGGAAATAATAAGAGGTGAAACTAAATATTTAGGTACGGAAACAAGCCTAAACCACAAGTGCAGATTCTGGAACATTCAGTATTATGCTGACCACTACAAATATAAAATATAACCATTACAAAATAAAGGGAACAGGTAAAATACTCATGGCATAACTTTCAGTAATTATTTGTATTTTTTTGGTAAATTTTAAAATGTGGCCTTTTTGATCTTGGTAATAATTGTGTTGTTCATATTTGTGGAATACAATACGGATGCCACAGGCTATATAGAAAGTCAAAAGGCCTGACAAAATGCGAAACAAATGGATTCAGTTTAAATAAACATAAATGCTAGGATGATTACAGAGATGTTTTGTCACCTGTGTTAGCAAATAAAATATTGTTAAAGTAATTATATTTTTGCAGCGTTCACATACTGCTTTGAAAGCTGTTCCTGGTTTTCTGTACATGTTGTACACAGACAGACAACATACCCACTGGCACCATCAACAAAACAAAGTATCAGACATCTAGAATCAGGAGAATAAGTTTGATTATTCCATTTAATATATAATTAAATGAAGCTAAGTTCAAGAGGAGCCAGCCTCATATTTGGATGGCACCTTCATAGAATTCAAGAACAGAAATAATAGCCTTTTGCAGTGGAAATATTGATTCCATGGACTATCATGGCCAAATGGTCTCAAAGTAAGCTACCTCATATACCAAATGGAAGATTCCTAGTTTTCAGCAGTCAAAGATGATTGCTCAGCATCCCCTAACATAAGGATTAGTGGAGCAGAAGAAACTGTTCAGGTTTTTTGGATAGATAGATAGATAGATAGATAGATAGATAGATAGATAGATAGATAGATAGATAGATAGATAGATAGATCTTCCCCATTATATTTGAATAAAGCAAAAAAGACATGTCTTTTTTGCTTTAGTCAAATATCAATTGGGAAGAGTTTTTCATTAAGTATATATTAAATATTTCAGTTCATTGCTGAAAGTTTCTTGATATAACAGAAAGAGTCAGTGTGACATAGTGGTTAAGCCACAGTAATGACGAACCTTTTAGAGACCGAGTGCCCAAACTGCAACCCAAAACCCACTTATGTATCGTTGGGTGCCGGGTGGCGTGGCCCCTTGGGTGGATGTGGCCCATTGGGTGGGCGTGGCTGAGGTGGTAACAGCAGACTGGGTGGGACTAGAAAGTTCATTCAATCAATTCCAACTTTGGAAGATTTCTTTTTCCCCGTGAGAAGTTAAAATTGATTGAACCTTTTTTTTCCCACACGGCAGCGGAGGCCTAAAACGAAAAGGTTTTATAAAACCCAGCTGAAGACCTAGAACTGGGGCGACGGTACGCGTGCCCATAGAGAGGGCTCTACATGCCACAGGTTCGCCACCATGGGGTTAAGGTGTTGAACTGGTAATGGGGAGACCTGGTTTAAAGTCTACTCTCAACCATGGACATCACTCGTTGTCTATGGGGATTCTCAGTCATCCAGGTGCTTTTTTCAAATGGCAACTGGATTTGTTTTTTCTTGAAGATATTTCACTTCTCATTCAAGAATCTTCTTCAATTCTGAAGAACAAAACTGAAGAAGCTTCTTAGATGAAAAGTGAAATGTCTTCAAGGAAGAACAAAGTCCAGTTGCTTTTTGAAAAAAATACCTTTGGGTTTCATCACTCATTGATTGAATCAGTCCCTCTCTCTCAGCCCAATCTACCTTACAGAGCTGTTATGGGGCAAATAGGAGGAGAATGGAATGCAAATTAAGTGAGACATAATTCCTGTTATGAATATGAACCATTGAAAAGAGCAATGTATGTTTTATGAAGGGCATCTTTGAGAGGGGGAATACAACAGTGTGAAAATGGAGTGCATAACTAAGCAATCAAAGCCCCATTTTCACAGTTTACTCAGTTTAAAAGGTTGTACACATTAAATTTTATAATGATGCTGAATGTCCCATTAAAAATCTTAAGTTTTTACATATTCATCAATTCACAAGCTCCACTTTTATCTTTATTCCATTTTAAGGCTACAGGTTAATTTATAAATTTTGCCAACAATCGTAAAGAAGATCATATTTTTAAAAAAATGTACAACTGATGTGATCTCCAGAGGTATTCTACAAAACATGGGCACAAAGGTCCTGTGGGGGTGGTAAGTGGGAGAATTATAGTAAAGTTTTGAAGTCATCTTTGCCTACCTTCCTCTCTTGTAATGGCAAAAAGGATTGCCATTTAAGCATCTTTAATTTTGTTTTTCAAAATAAATGGGATTGCCGTTATTACAGTACGTGATAGGAAATTTCTCTCATTTAAGTTCTGGGAGTTTAGTATATTAAGAGACAATGCAATGTAGTCATGAACTTTTGAAATAGTAGAAACTGTAGACATACTTTTAGTTGTTAATGGGACTGGAACAATCCCTACTGTCATGAGCCTGATACACATGTAACGACCAATTTGGGCACAGATTCTCTATGAATGACCCACAAGACTTTAAATTTCAAATTGACATTAATTTCCCATTGACAAAACTAGAACCCTGGTTAATTTTTTTCTGGTATAATCATGACTTAAAAGAAAGCAAAAGGTTAGAAGGTGACAGGAACGATTTTTAATAATTAGCATATTTTTTCTGAACATAGTCTTTGAAACTCCCTCATTGGACAGTTTTCTAACCCTGAGGCCAGTATCAAATATTGTTCTACATTGGCTTTTAGATGCAAGGGGAACTGAAATATTTACCTGCCTGTGTGCTATGTGATATTTTGTGGCACGGTATACTGCCTTAGAGATTTCATATACTAATTAATGTGTCTGTTGAAGTCATTGTCTGATTGATTATTCTATGTTAGATCTCTCCCTTTTTGAGATTTTTTTAAGATGAGTGTTCCTTTGATCAGACCCTTACTCTTAGAAGGAGAAAAACATAATTCATTTATTTTCTAACTACTGGGGAAGGGAAACTCCCCTCTTCCTTCCTGCATAGTAAATGTTAAGATCATATTATTTGTAATTGTGTGTATGAGCTGAACAAACTAGCTTCCTCTAAAATTGGTTATACATTGTTTAACTTTTAATTGCTAGAGATAAAACAGCATATTCATGTTGGAAGCTTCGAAGTTATGACTCTAGAATCTGCAGTGGCAAGATATAAAGAGAAAAATTCCTATTTTCTTGGCAGGTTTCATGAAAATTTACTGTCTCTGAAGAGGGATCTAGTTGCTGCAACACCTCATTTTGCGTGTTTAAATTTCTGGTTGTTTTTGCATGCTGTATTGCAAACCATTTTCATTTTTCTGTGTTCTCCTCGTTGGGACTCATTTCTCATTCGTGTTTTTGTCTCATTTGTTTCCATCAGCAAATGCCCAGCACACCAGGGTTTGTGGGATACAATCCATACAGCCATCTGGCGTACAACAACTACAGGCTGGGAGGGAACCCGGGCACCAACAGCCGGGCCACGGTAGGAGAATCAACTATTACGTCATCCGGCAAACAGCAGGAAGTGACCAGAAATGGCTTTAGAATTAGGTTCTTCTAAATCTTAGCTGCTGCTAACACTTTTTATTTAAAAAGTGAAAAAATAACTTGTGATTTCTTTCCATTTCTCCCCAATCTTTTTCTTTTCACTAACTTTTTGATAACAGCCTTTTTTATTAGTCAGTTGGAATGGGCTTCGAGTCAGTTCACTTGCCAAAAGGAATACAGACAACTTTTTTTTAAATTGTTTTCAGTGACCAGGTACTACTGACAAGAATTTTTCTCTCTGATCATGAAAGCAGCTTATGCACCAACCACTGAGTAATTAAATAGGGGGGAGGGAATAAGTAACATGATGCGAAGACCTGTGTAAATCTTTAGATGAAATAGGAGCTGTGTATATAAATATATAAGGAAAGCACACACAAAGATTAACAAAAGAAACAAATCTAGAACTAAAGAGAAGCGTTCTTTCTCAATATTTAGAGGAAGAATTTTTGAAACTAGAATATTGCAAAATTTTGTCCAAGTTTAAGTTTGCTGAAGTTGATGTCTTCCCTCTCCAAATAGTGTGAAAGTTGACAGTGTTCTAGGATGGCCAGAGAGAAACCTTCCCCTTTTGGCATGGAAAATGAGTTGGAGTTTTCCTATTATCAGTTCAGTCAATACTGATAAAGTACTCTGTAATATGTCTTACTGATAGAGTGTTCTAAACTCATCGTAGTGTGATCCATTCTGCCAGGTATTCTGTGAAGTGTTTTAGCACTCAAACAATACTTGAAGCACATTACTACCTTTCCTTAGTTATTGCTTCAGTTTGAGACGTAGTGGCTGGTTTAATTACTGGGTGCTTCCCCCTGTAATTAATGTCTAGAAGGGTAGTTAGATTAGTGTTTTGCAAAAAAAAAAAAAAAAGGTATTGTTGCACTTCAGCAATTAACAAATTTATTATTGCATAACCATTCCCCCCCTTTTAATTGTTTTTGCAGCAAAACAATAAAATTACAAAATTTTACAAACATACAAAAATAAAAACAAAATCAATTAAAGCAACAATTTAAATTGTAAAGATGTTTAATAAATGACAAAAATAACAAAAAATAGAACGGGAAAACAAAATAAAATTGTGTAAACCTCTATGGATCAAAGTTCACTGCCAAATACATATAGATTGTTAATAAAATGAGCTGTGATTTATGGCAGTAACAAAGGTACTAATCTTTAAGATGCTTCAGAACTCTTTATGGTGCTACCTATAGGCAACAAACACAGAAAATAGAATCCTCTTAACACCTGCATTCATGCAGTTACTACATACCTCCTCATGAGAACTGTATGCATTTGGATTTAACTAAAAACTAGTAAGTATATTAAGTATGTCACTATGTTAGGTGCTTAGAGAAAAAAGTACATAGCTCTTGTTTTAGTCTGTGCCAATCTCCTTTATAATTTCAGGGCATTTATTTGATCATATAGTATTGATAGTATAGTAGATTATAAGAGAGTTTTCACCTCATTCATTAGTTCTAGTTTGTACTAGGATAGAAAAGGTGTGGCCAAGGTTTGTTAGCATCTGCAGTAGTGTAACTTAGACATTATTTGGCTGTGTCTATTGGAAAACGTCTACAAATCATTATTGATGCCATTATATATGTTATATTCATTACCTGAGGTGAAACTTTAGCTCTAATTCTTATATTTTATCTGTGAAGGATAATACTTTCAAACTATTCCTGTCCAAAAATAATGAATTGTGGTAGTCCATTAACCATTTTTCAAAGTAAAAGACTCCACTTCAAATATTAATAGTTCATTTTCAATAAATGAATGACAAAAAGATTCAGTTTAGGCCTGTGAGCCAGACCTTCTCTGGTAGGTATCTTTAAGGAAACAGAAAAACACACTAATTTGGTAATATGGAAGAGCCTTCTTTGTATTCTTCGTGACCAGCAAAAAGACATTTATATTGCAAAGAAATAACAGATTGAGAAGTTACACATGATAATCATGAGTACTCACCCTTCATGTGTTAACTGTAAACTCATATGTTTGTACCTAGTTCCTTACTTTAAATATGAATGAATCTGGATTTGAAAAAAATTCTGATCCCCAATTATTTTTATATCAGATTCATATTGGAAGAAATTGTAGTTTCTTTCACAAATTTCCATTGTATATACTTATAATAAACATTCTGAGCTTTCTCTACAATATGTGTTTCAATTTGGGTTTATGCTTTATATATTCTTATTGGTGTTTAAGCATTAATTGATTTACTTGAATGTTTTCAGGTCCCTCTTTATATATTTGTGTGTGTAACTGTACATTTGCTAATGCATACATCTCATAAACATTTTTTTATTTCATTAGATATAATCTATGCACCACTGCTTAGTTCATGGCATTTCATAAATATGGCATGGAGAAAAGCTTGTCCTTTTATTTTAAAAATGAGTTTCTCAAATGTAATAGGCCTGTTCATGCAAAATATTTGTATATATGTATTATCTCAATGGGGCCATAAAAGGACTACATTATTCAAAATCTGAGATCTATGCAGTGACCTCTGTCTGCATGTTTAAATTGTGATCTTAATCTCTATAGCCTCCTCCCAAAACAGTTATGTTTATGGGCACATATTTGAAAAAGATAAATTATGTATATATGAAAATGTATTTTGAACCAAGAATGTTTTTGTAGAAGAATAGGGACTTTACCTATTACCCAATAAGACATATTTCTTTTAGCTTACTAAGTACAGTGAAAAAGCTTGGTGTTTCTACAAATCTTTCAGGAAAACAAAAGTTGCTCCAGAAACTCACTCTGTAATTTCCACTTGGATAATATAATTTGGGCTAATAAGATATTCAAGGGAGCAAGCTTCAAGAAATATCTTGCTCTGCTAAATATTTTAAGGGTTTCTCCAGTAATGGAATAAGGATAATGGATTCTCCATAATGGAATAAGAATAATTGAGATTACCTTGGGTGAGAGAGTAGTGTGGGTAGTTCTCGACTTACAACTGTAATTGGGACCAGGACTTCTGTCACTAAGCAATGCCATCATTAAGTGAGTTTTATTATCTTTCTTGCCACGATTTAGCAAATCAGCATAGTTGTTAAGAGAATCTGACTTCCCCATTGATTTTGCTTTTTGAAAGCCCCCTGGGAAGGTTTTAGATGGCAATTATGAGATCTCAGTATGCTGAATCACTGTAAATACACACCAGGTGTCAAGTGCCCAAATTTTGATCATGTGACTGTGAGATGCTATGATGGTCGTGTGAGAACCAGTTGTAAATCACTTTTTTTCTGTGCCATTGTAAGTGCAAACATTTGTTAAGTGAATGGTCATAAGTTGTATTCAGAAATACCAAGAATCATTTATTAGGCATAGAGGGCCAAAATATTATTTAAGGCCTGGGAAGCAAGATAATATTCAGAAGAAGCTAAGGCAAACTTCTTCCAAATCCAGTGGGTTATATAATTAACAGAACTGTAAGATTCTGTTATTATAGCTATCTCAATAAAGCATAGCTCTAGTCTTCCTATGAAGTTGATCTGATATGGTCTACCTAATGGGACTGAGATCCATTTTGCAAATCTGATTCCTCCTTACTTCCCCTCCACTCTTCTTATGTCCATGTAAACCAGAAAGCATGTACTTGGTTTCCTTCCTGATATTATTCTTCTTTCCCATGACGTAAAGAATATTTCAGTCCTCTAGATAGTAGTTCTTGCATATTTCTGTCAAGGACATTTCCCCTTAGTCTTTACAATTCCACTTCAGTCCGTTTTACTGTCCTTAATCTATCTCTTCTCTTTACCCTGCGGTTGCATTCACCCGTGACCTTTTATTGTGGTACCTTACCTATTCCCAAAAATACTTTTAATATTCTAAAATAAGAATGGCAACTTAGATGGCTTCAGGATGTTACTGGGCCACAGTAATTTCAATATTGAAAGCTGCTATGAGTTGTAGTTTAGCAACACAAGGAGGTCATAGATTTCATACTGTACTCAAGGTCTTTTTCTTTTCCTGTATTTGCTGGAAAATCCGTACCATATTGTCTAGCAGCAGTTCCAGGTGTTTTCAGAAGTTGGAAAGGGGCAAAATTTGACAAGTCGGAATTCCATATCAGTTGCAGCCATTTGCCAAGACAATAATGATTATCTGAAAAGCTCCTACTAGAAAATATGCTTACATTTTCTAGACGGGGCCGGATGCGGCCCGCAAAGTGGTTTCATGTGGCCACAAAACCATCCTCGAAACAGTGAGAGAACGGCCCCCGCTGTCTTGACCCTGGCCCAGGCCAGCCGGGAGCCAATGTACAATTTTGTGGTGGCCAGCTATGCTGAAATGCATTCAGTCTTAGCTCCACAAGTCCATCTGGAAACAGCGAGGAACCAGCCCCTGCCGCGTCGGCCCTGCCCCCTGGGTGCATGCAGGGGACGTATCATCCTTTGTGAGGAATGAAGAAATGCACCATCGCCTGGAAGTCGCCAGCAAATGGCCCTCACCTACTTCACCTATCCGGCTTGATGGACTCCGGGGGAGGGGTTTTGGCAGGCAGCAGGGCGCTCTCACAGTGCCAAGAGGCTGAGCCAGGCGGCATGAGTCCAAAAAGAAGTGCGATGCCGCCCAGCCCCCAGCCTTCCCGGTTTCAGCAGGCAGTGGGGCGCTCTCCTCATAGCGCCAAGAGCTGAACCGGGTGGCATGAATCTGATGAGAAGTGCAATGCTGCCTAGCCCCCAGTCTGCCCAGTTTCAACCTCTCGGTGCTGTGAGGAGAGCGCCTGCTGCCTGCCGAGACCGGGCAGGCTGGGGGCTGGGCGGCATTGCGCAGGTAATGTTGACTCTCACGCTGCTCATGGCATCCCCTCTCCCAGAGCCCACCAAGCCAGATATGTGGTGAGGGCCATGTGCTGGCTACTTCCAGGTGATAGTGCATTTCTTCATTCCTCACAAAGGGTGACACCTCCCCAGCTGCGTTTCTTGCCTGTTTTTCTCCCTCTCTCATCTCAAATATTTTCCCACCACTCTGTACTTAGGAAGAGACCCTCAGATCTGTCCCACTCCTGCCCAGGCCCCCACAGGCACCCTTGATGTGAACGATGTAGAGCTGGCCATGCCCACCCAGTAGGCCACACCCACTCCATCCACGCCCACCCAGTAGACCGCACCCACCCTGGCCACACCCACCCGCCCCCCCAAGGGCAACCACAATGCTGAAACGGCCCTCAATGAAATTGAGTTTGACACCCCTGTTCTAGAGGGTTGCGGGATGTCTTTTCATTTCATATCAGGAGACAAGGCCAAAACAATTGAGCTTGGAATTGATTGGACATTGCTGTGCACAGAGTCATGCAGAGACACTGAAATAATACAGACTAAAGTTGCTATTGGGATTCAACCTGCAATTATAAATGCAGGTGTGAATATAACCTCAGATATTTAGTGCTCTCATTAAGACAAGAAATTGGACATTTTGAGTTATGGAAAGTGTTTGTGCTGTTTAAAATTGCTGTTTTAATACAAAATCTTTGTCAATCCATAGATGAATTGAAAATACACAGAGAAATATTACATCATTTTTGAATATATGAAAATATACTTGTTCTCATGACAGTTAGTAAATATTAACCTGGACCTCTGTTATCAATATATTATATTAGCAAATGCCTCTTTTGCAATACTTAAATGTTTGAAATAATATAATCTGTGCATTTTATTTGGTTGTTCCTTAGGCATCATCAGGTATTACAATCCCCAAACCCCCAAAGCCTCCAGATAAGCCACTCATGCCCTACATGAGGTACAGCAGGAAGGTGGGTACAAAATACATGGCCCTGGTTAAAGGTCTGCCTCATCTTAATTTATTTCATGGTTATTCTAGAACGTGTTTGATTTCAAAAAGCAAACCTGTTACTATAGTTTTGCTTATGTTTTTTTTTTCTTTAAGGGAAAATTAAGAAGTCAATTGTTTCCTCCTTTCACAGTGAAGGGAATAGCAAACTACCCAAAATGGAGGGGGGGAAATAAGTTTCACCACAGAATGAAACATGGCCACCATACTGTCGGGGAGAAATGAAGACCTTTTTTATTGATTATTTAAAAATGCTTAAAGTGTACTACTACTTCCTCTGCTAACAAGGATGCATCAGGTGCCTTATTGACAGAATTTTCTATATTAAAAGAATCCATTTTCTGTGGCAAAGCAAGATTGGTGCAACTCCATAACTGGACTTCGCGGTAGTGACAGTAGAATCTACTTTGCTCTTTAAAAGATATTTTTGTTTTAAAATTCTCTTCTCCTCTTACTTTAGGGAGAGGGAATGAGGGTGTAGTGTCACACCCCTTCTTTTTCCTTTTCTTGTTTTTAATTCACTGACTTTTTTTCTGATAAAATGAGAGCCTAGGTCTTATGGACAGCACTTGATTCAGTCCAGTGTCAAGGAGTGACTAAGTCAAAAGAAGGACTGTGGTTTACCTGCTTTTCTATCTCTGATTCTTTTAAAAAAAAAGTTCCATCCATCGGCCTCTCTTAAGACAAAAGAGAAGAATCGTGCAAGATTTAAGGGAGAGGCTGCTGTGAAAAGGATGCTGTGCAACTGACAATAAAACCAGGCAGTGGATAAACATACCTCTGTCTTCCCACCCCAGAGAAATAATCAGTGGATATAGCATAGCCCAAAATAACTGTCTTAATGTAGCCTTGCTTTGTGGTGATAGTTCTCTGAAAGGACCAAAGTCTTGGTGGTGATATTAACAAAATATGTTTTATTTTGTAAGTATTTAGTTAGCTGGAGCTTTACTACAGATGTTTTTATTAAGGTCTGGGACCAAGTGAAGGCGTCCAACCCTGACTTGAAGTTATGGGAAATTGGGAAGATCATTGGAGGGATGTGGCGTGACCTCACTGATGAAGAGAAGCAAGAATACTTAAATGAATATGAAGCAGAAAAGGTACACAGAAGAAATCTCCCTCTCACTCCCAAATAATACTGGAAGTCTGTCTTTCTCTTTCATACACATAAAGCTAAAGTAAAGTAAAATTTAAAAAGACTGGTTCTGGAGAAGGTCACTTATGGGCTCATGTATAGGAGCATTATTGAGGAAAGAAAACCTGAATCAACTTTTGCTGTGCAAGGCCAGATGCACTAAAGAACTTTAAGGAGAGTATGATAAAAACACGACACCTTGGATGACTTGAAAAGAGCCCAGCTTGAGTCAAGGTTGCCTATCCTTCCTCTCTGCCCCCAACTAAACATCTAAGCATAAAGGCACCTGGAAATAAAGCACAGTTAATGAGTCTCCCCTCTTTCAGTTCCTCTCAACATCATATTTCCCTGTACTTCCCTTTGTTGTTCATTAAATATGGACACATTCCGAAATGTTTAAATGCAACCCTATCCTGCTTCTGGCCGTGAGACCCTTCCAGAAGAGGGCAATTGAGTATCAGTAATCAGCCCTGAGGTATCCGTTTCTTGCTTCATGTGAAGTTGTCCCTTGTGTATGCAAGGATTTCTTAATTGGAAGAAATTCCTAAGGGTATGGGAGATGGGATTTGTTGTAATTTTTTTTTGTTTAAAAAATTGTATCTGTCAACCTGTAGATAGAGTACAACGAATCAATGAAGGCTTATCATAATTCACCTGCTTACCTTGCCTATATCAATGCCAAAAGTCGTGCTGAAGCTGCCCTGGAGGAGGAAAGCCGGCAAAGGCAATCTCGAATGGAGAAAGGTGAACCTTATATGAGCATCCAGCCTGCTGAGGATCCAGACGGTAAGCAAGAGCAGAAGAAATAGTGTTGCTGGCAACAAAAAATGGCACAATGCTTTAGTTATAGTTTTTTTTACTTGATAGTGGAATTTTTCAGGATTCAGAAATCAATCTCTTGATTATCTTCTTAAAACGGGGGTGTCAAACTGCCGGCCCGCGGGCCGCATGCATCATCCAGAAGCCGCACCCATCCCATTGCCGGCAATGGCAAAACTGTTCTGATACGTTGCGCGACGTCATGTGACATCGCGAGTTTGACATGTCTGTCTTAAAACAACTTGCTGGGGAACCCTTTGTGGTTTGGAAAAATTTCTATAAATGTTACAATTCTTAGCTTGGGATCTGCACATAAATAGTTTGAAGCTGCATAAAACAAAAGCAACAGTATTAAACTTCGATCAAGTATTGTTTATCAATATAACAGATTTATTTTTATCCCATCTTTATTATTGCTGTGAATAACTCAAGGCAGCTAAGGTTCATAAAATTATAGCCCACTTTCATGCCTAAGGCAGAACCAGAACTCACAATCTGCTTTCTAACCTGATACTATGAGACTAAATATTTCTTACATGAACTAGCACAGCTCTATCATCAAAGATAGAAAATTCAAGATGTCCTCTTGCATAAATATTTGCACCCAGCTGGGTTTAATTAATATATTGCTTAGAAAAATGCATTCTAGCATCTGCGGTTTTTTGCAGATTGGGTTTAGTTGTTCAGTTGATAGTTTTGAAAAATAAACCAGGTTTTTCACTAGCAGTTACTTGGATTGATACAAAGAAAGTTGCCTATTGGCCAGAGATCTGTAAAATTGTCCCAAGGGATTGTACAAGGTCTTATTTAAAGACCTTGAGTCTTTTTCACAGGAATATGAGAATTGAAAAGCACCACAGAAATTGCAAGATCAGATCAAGAAGTCAGAATATTCAAAGTAGGGGGGAAAAATTTAAATGCGAAGTATTTTTTTACTAAATATTCCAGTCCTCTAGACTCCTTGCCCAAGTCAATTAAGGTCAGATGAATTATTAGAGAAATTTTAAACATTTTTATTTCCCTGTTTCAGATTGGGGTGAAGGTTGAAACTGACACAGTATAGCTTATCTAAACCACCCACTGAGTTCTCACAGTTGACTGGCAAGCTTTCCAAGTTACAGCTCTTACCCTAAATATGATGATATGGAAGTTCTTCACTTACATTTTGAAATATTTTTGAAATAAGATACCCAGCTTTATCCTGGATCTATCATCCAAAAATATTTGAATAGAATTGCTTTTTAAACTTTACTTTGGATAGATCCAGCAGCTTCTGCTTATAGATGTCATTTTTAGTAGCTTTTATCTCATCTTGATGTCTCACAAAAGGAAGTTGACTTATTTCTCCCAGAAGTCTTTGCTTAAAAAACAACAACACCTGGCTGAAAGGAGAACTGTTCATCTGAAAATATATGAATCTTTACCCCACCTTTCCTTTTCTGTTAGACAAGGATAGGATCATTTTCTTCTTTTTTTTAAGGCAATCCAACCTCATTTTGGAATAAGTTCAAGGCTGAGGATAAAAAATCAGGGACACAGATGTATCTTTATGCTGAGTCATATAATCATGGTATATTCCTTTCTAAAGTAGCAGATTCATCATAAAAATAAGCAACCATACATAGTTTATGAGGGATATTATAAACAGTCATTCAGTAGTACAAGGATCATACATTTCCTTACATTTTCCAGCCTTTCCTTGGGTCCATTTTATGCTGTGCATTACCAGATGTTCAAAGACTGCACATCTCTGCCCCAAGTATTGTGTGTCTCCCAGAAGCTGCTGGTTTTCAACATTTATTATGGTTGGTCACACAATCAGCCAGATGTTTAGATAGGATTTAGCATTTTTATACACATATCAAGTACTTTCAAAGAACCTGGGTAAGCAAATACTGTTTTTAATAAAGATAACATCACAGATAAATATACATCTGTCAAAGTAAAGTTACCATTTGCAATTGACTGATGGTAATTTTGACAATGCTGATGGCGTTCATGCTCCAGCTGTTTTGGAATTGCACCCAAGGTGCCTATTGCTGTTGGTATTATCTTTGCTTTCTTTTACCAAAGTCATTCCATTTCTGTTTTCAGGTCTTTGTATTTTGCAGTTTTCTCTAGTTCTTTCTCTTCTCTTCTGCTGTACTGCAACATCCACTATCCAGATTTTTTTGTCTTTGTTATCAACAATTTTTCAGTTTCAGATGTTGTGTAGCAGATATTTGTCTGTTTGATTATGTTGAATTCTAAAGCCCCAGAGCACTTTAGTGACTTTATTTTTATTATTTTGTGATCAGTTCTTGCTTTCAGGCAAATAGTATTATTGCAAATATTCCAATACATTATTTTGGCTATTTGGTCATGCTATTGTAGTTAATCTATGTGATTTTCTTGCAGCAGCTAACTAGGTGGTCCAGTGTTTCTTCTGCTTCTTTGCAGAGGTGGCATTTGCTTTCTGTTTCTGTCTTAATTCTGACTATGTATGCATGTGTTCTAAAGGTGCGGTCTTGCATAGCCAAGAATTAGCCCCTCTTTTCAATTTTATTTCTCTTAGTCATTACCAGGTCTTGTTGTTATCTTCTTTGCCTGTTTTCTTTAATGTATTGGCCATATTATACTTTGCTTACCCATGTCCCTTTTTTATTTTCACTTAGTCTCTCTTGCAGCTTTGCTTGATAATAAACCTTCATAGTATACTAGCTTCAGTGCATCTTCTTCATTATCCTTCAGATATTCTTTAAATGCCCTTTTTTTTCAACTGGCTGATATTTCAACTGGCTGATGTAGTTGCAACTTTCCATATCTACTTATTTTCCTTGGTAAGTAGAGTCTGTCAACATTGCTACATGAATGAAGGACATGATTCATTGCAATTTTTTTTCTAGTCTTCCTACCCAAGGTTTTTAGTTCCGCTAGAATCCAGTCCACTATTCCTACTGTGCATCTAAATCAGGGCTTTTCAACTGATGGTACGCATACCACCACGCATACTGGTGGTACGTCAGCACCTGGCAGGTGGTACGCGTATAACGGGTTGAAAAGCACTGTAAAAAAAGTGTAAAAGTGGATGAAGTGATGCGGTGGCAGCGCCACACAGGCTTGTAGGAAAGTCAGATGGAGCTGCACAAGGTGTTGCCTGGGTCCTGCTGAGAGTCCAGGATCAGCACGCGCAGCTCCAGCTGATTGGTGGCAGCCTTGGGTGGCAGGCAGTCCCATGGAGTCTTCAAGCGGAGATTCAACTGGAGCTGCGCGAGGCATTGCCTGGGTTCTGCTGAGAGCCCAGGATCAGCGTGCGCAGCTCCAGCTGATTGGTGGCAGCCTTGGGGGTGGCAGGCAGCCTCATGCAGCCTTCAGGCAGAGACTCAGCTGGAGCTGTGCAAAGAGTTGCCTGGGTCCTGCTGAGAATCCAGGATCAGCATGCGCAGCTCCAGCTGATTGGCGGCAGCCTTGGGGGTGGCAGGCAGCCCCATGCAGTCTTCAGGCAAAGATTCAGCTTAATGCATTGTCTGCTGAGAGCTCAGGATCAGTACACACAGTTATAGCTGATCTGCACTTCCAGGCACCCAGGAGAGAAAAGGAGGCGGGAAAGAAAGAGGAGAGGCTGTAAAAGGAGGTTTTGGCGTGAGAGAGAGACGACGGACGGGGGGGGGAAGAGAAGGCAATGGCGAAAGAGACGGAGAGGAGAGCAGTCAGTTGGAGGTGCACCGAAGAGAAAAGGGGGGAGGAGAGGAGAAGATATAAAAGAAGGGGTGAAGATAAGAGAGAATATAAAAGGGGGGAGAGAAGAGGATATAAAGGGTGAGAGAAGAGAGGATATAAAAGAAGGAGGGGGAGAGAAGAGAGGATATAAAAGGGGGAAGAGAAGAGAGGATAAAAGAAAAATATATAAAAAATGAGGAGAGAAGTGAGGATATAAAAGAAGGAGAGAAGAGGATATAAAGGGGAGAGAAGAGATTATATAAAGGGGGAGAGAAGAGGTTATAAAAGGGGGAGAAAAGAGGATATAAAGGGAGAGAAGAGGATATAAAAAGGAAGAGAAGAGGATATAAAAGGAGGGGTGAGAAATTTGTTAAATGAGTTCTGCCTCATTTTATGACTTTTCTTGCCACATTTGTTAAGTGAATCACTGCAGTTGTTAAATTAGTAACATGGTTGTTAAGTGAATCTGGTTTCCCCATTGCTTGTCAGAAGGTTGCAAAAGAGGATCACATGACCCTGGGACAATGTGACCATCATAAATATCAATTGGTTGCCAAGCATCTGAATGTAAATCACATGACCCTGGGGATGCTGCAACGGTCATAAGTGTGAAAAATGGTCATAAGTCACTTTTTTCAGTCACTTGAACAGTCACTAAGCAAAGTCCTTGTAAGTCAAGGACTACCTGTACTTTATCACTTTTTTTGGGGGGGGGGGGGTCATCAAGTTTTTGACACTTTGCTAGGCGACTGTTGGTACTGTTGCCATATTCTAAAAGTGGTACAATCGGTGAAAAGGTTGAAAAGCCCTGATCTAAATGATTAGAATTGCCTAGGTGTCAATTGCCTTGATGGTATTTCTTCCCCTGAGTTTGGACTTTAGAATCTTCACTCTTCTGATGTATTCAACACTAACCTTCTTCTTGACTATTATGCTTGATGTTATCAGCGTGAGGGATGCCCAGATATTTGTAGTGATCATTTTCATCCAGACTTTTGATGTTATTTCGGTAGGGCATCTTGATTCCTTCAGTTTTCTGTAGTTTTCCCCTGTTGACGGTAAGAGTGGCACATTTGCCCAGTCCAAACTCCACTGGAATATCTTGGCTTGGAATGGGTTGAGCAGCAATTCCATTTCAGGTGTGTTTTTCCATACAACTTCAGATTGTCCATGTAAACTAGTGGAATATCCTAGCAGATGTTTTTGGTATTTGATAGTCATGGCCTGACTTGTTCTGTATTATTGACAGAGGAATCAGAACAATGACCAACAGTAGTGATTCACTTGAAAGATTCATCTCTTAACGTTAATTTCTCCTAATCTTTAATTATTGATCAGCAACTGTGTCTTTCATTGAGCCATTGAGCTTTATTATTATTACTATGAATAGGCCTACTTGTTTTCACCATTGAATTAGTGGAGCTGCTTGGTATCTTTTCTTAAAGCTCTTCCCCTGTATCTTTCATTAGGCTTTTACTATCAGCAGAATAATACTATATTCTGACCCTACCAAGAACTCATTATAGCCTCCATGAAAAATCCTTTTTATTGAAGATTTTTAAATCATGCATTTTGTTCCAGTTACTGCTTCAAATCCAGGTATCTTGTCTTAGAAATAAATTATTATTTTGAGAAAGACCCACCCCCACCTCCCGATTTATGATATGCTTCATGGGTATCTTCAGAACTCACTTGGAATTATTAGGATGGGTTGTGAGGGTATATAAATATGATTTGAACTCCCATCTATCATTTTAAAAGTTAAACTTAAGTAAAATATAATATGGATGAACAGACCTATTGGCCCCATATATAAATACCTCTAGCCAGGGCCTTTTTTCTCATAGAACGCCCAGAACGGAGTTCCACCACCTTTTTGGGATGGAACCTTGTAGAGTAAGCAAGGCAGGTTGTATGACATGTGTGAGTTCCGGCACCTTTTTTTTTTTTTTTTTGAAAAGCACTGCCTCTAGCATAGTTAGCTTTTCAATGCTTTTTAAAAAACATGGGATTCATTGGTTGGAGGGGATAAACTAGAAATTCAAGATTGCTGCTTTGAAGCACTTTTCCAAAAATAGTTTTGGAAAAGACCAAGCCTGTATCTACTATTCGTCATTCTGTCTTTTGAAAAGCACTTTGGAGAGATTCTTTGACTTGACTCTGATCTTCTGGTTTTGACAGGAGGAAAATGGGTGGCTATGAATTCACAATTGTTCATTAAGTAGCTATTTTCAGAGAGACTGATGTCAAAGAAAGAGTGAGAGCTTGTTGTGTGGGATTCCTTTAACTTGCTCTGTTTATCTTTAAAATGGTGACTGCTCTTTTTTCTGTTTAAAATATCAAATCAGAATATTAATTATATAAGGAACTTGTGTATATAGTAAATAGTTCACAAAATATATTTTGTTTTATATAAAATATAGTTCATTTCTCCCAGTGCTCAGAAATTTTGCAAATTTCTAATATTGGAGTAAATCATCTTTAATTTAAAATTACCTTGTAACTAATAATAGCAAGTTATTATAAGTAAGCAAATGGGCTGTTGAGGAGAAAGAAAAACCTGTTGAGCATCACATAGAAAATTTTTTTCCTTATCAGACTTTGTGAGAATGTATATATATATACATTGGCTGGATTGTACATTTTCTAAACTTACCAGGCCAAACTGCGTGCTAACCCAGGAATAGACTTCAATGAACAGAGAACAGTTTGCTTCCAAATTAAACTTATATGGGATGCATTTCATCTAATTAAAAAGCATCTATCATTACATATGAAAAAGGCAATTGTGTATAATGACAATTATAATTCTTAATTATAATTAGGAATAAGAAACATTGGTTTTAAAACTTAGCATAATTGTGACTGTCCCTTTTTGATGCAATATGTTTTGGACTACCATTTTCACAGTCTTCACTATGGTTCATGCTGGTCAAGACTAATACAAATACAAATTCAAAACCTCTATTATCTATGCTTAGCACCTGAGAAATAAGTTTGATCGTTTGCCTCCATGTCCCAACTATTATATGAATTTGCTGGATAGATTAAATCTAAGATTAGAAACTTATGTTGCAAAGACTGGAGTCCCTTTTTGCAGATTTTTTTCATCCATTATGCCACAAAATATGTGTTTGAATAGTAGTAATTATTTCCTGATAATTTTTCATTGAAAATAATTCTAATAATGGAGTTGCCTATCTCAATTGCATTCACTAAGCCAGGACTATCTCTAATTGAATTTACACTTTCATTTCTCTGCATATGTTCATCAATCCCACTGGATCAGATTATCCTCATTCCGATCTATTATATCTCTTCTTTCTTTTGTTTGCATAGACAGCTAATATATATTTCATTTGTCTGTTTCATTTGGTAATTCATATTCTTTATCATGTATTTATCTTACATACTAAATTGCAATCTTCCATTTGGTAGGGTCATTACCAAATAGACCCATATATTGACCTGCACTATTCACCATCTCTTTGGTCAATCAAGATTTTGACCAAATATTGCTGTTTTTAATAAAATGTAGAAGTCTAGACCAAGTTATCCACCCTTGGTCATTTTTATGCTGATTAAAGCATTGCTTGATAATAATATGGATCATATTACATAGTTTTAGTTAAAATTGCACAGTTTAATTTATATGTGTAGCCAAAGCCTGGTTTTACTCCAAGTATACTTATGCTATCCTATACTATTTCTAATTAAACATTACTTTGCAAGCCAACATATTAATGTCTGCAAGCCTTCAACATATGAAATAATAATATAAAAATAATAAATGTAGAAATATACATTCAGGATGCATCCTTAACCTAGCAAAGTTATTCACATAACTCTCTGTTACATGAAAACCAACTATTTTACCTTTGCAGGACTAAATCATTCTTTGCTAAGGAAAATTAAATTTCATAATCACAATTTAGTAACCTATGTGAGTATATTTTACCTTGTTTCCCAGAAAGTATGACCTGCCCTGAAAATAAGCCCTAGCTTGATTTTTGGGAGTGGACCTAATATAAGCCCTACCCCCCAAAAAAATAAGCCCTAGTTCTGGGCAAGGCGCATGCCTAAAAATCAAGCTAGGACAAGGGTGGAGGGGGTGGAGCTTACCATTGAAGCCAGGCCTCCCATGAATCGATACTTGCCTGGCCGGAAGGAGCAGCATCATTCTGTAGCTGAGAATGGAGCTCGGCCTGTATTTCGCACTCAGAGGCTTTCTGGAAGGCCTGTGTAACTGAGAACCGAGCTATGGATTGAATCCATAGCTCAGTTCTCGGCTGCAGATGTCTTCTGGAAAGACCTCTGACTGTGAAATGCAGGCCAACTCCATTCTCAGCTGCAGAATGAAGCTGCTCCTTCGGCTGCAGAAGAAGTGGGCCGGCTGGGCGGGGCTGTCGGAGGCGCTGCTGCAAGGTGAGTGGAAAAGACACACCCGAAAATAAGACCTGGTGCCTCTTTTCGAGAAAACACAGTACATGTATTTTTAGTTTGCATATGTCAGCTTTTGAGCCATCAGGCATTCAGGAAAAAAAAAGCTGAAATATTTTTATCAAGGATATTAAATTGATAGAAAGGAATAAGGGAGTAGAATAAAGTTTATGCCAGGGATATCACTGTGCATGATTTTGTTTCAGATTATGATGATGGATTTTCTATGAAACATACTGCTACTGCCCGTTTCCAGAGAAACCATCGTTTAATTAGTGAGATCCTGAGTGAAAGTGTAGTTCCTGATGTTAGATCTGTGGTTACTACAGCAAGAATGCAAGTCCTCAAACGCCAAGTCCAGTCATTAATGGTTCATCAGGTAAAGTATGAACACAAATGGGTGGGATAAGGTGAGGTGGGGTTTAGGAAGAGTTTATTTAAGGCAGTGGATCCAGAATTATAAATGCTCATATGGTAGTTCACCTATTGTGTGATAATAACTGCAAGACCATTGAATAGATCTCCATGATTGATTTTAACTAAGTTCAGATGTTTTTTATAATTTCTTCCTCCAACCTTTGAAACTTTTAGCTCTGTAGGCCTTTTACTTGAAAAATCTCACTGCTCTGCTGTTCCAAATTTGCTTTACTGTAAATGTTGCAGTTACATAAACCAGATTTGTAATTGATCTGCGGTATTGTACATAGATTTAACAAGAACCAAAAGAACATTTAGTCATCATTATGAGACAAAATAATTTTTTCAGCAATATCTTTGATGCTGCTTCTTAATCAGACTGATAAACAAATTGAGAGGTGGTAAGCCACAAAAATGCTTATGGAAAAGTAACTCAAGCCAGTATGAATTCAACATAAGTAACTTTCCAACTGAAATTGATTATTATATCCAATAGATATATGTATGCAATAGCACTTCCTCCCATCTTTTATAAAAATTCAATCTGTCACTTTGTTGGTATGGTCAGAGATCATAATATGCAAGCTGAAGAAGCAGCAGATCTTTTTTCCTTCTTAGAAAATAACTAGGGAGTTCCGGGGGGGGGAGGGTGTTCATTAATAGTTTGTTTCAAATTTTCTTTATCCTCAGCATAAAAGATTGTATCTCTTGCCCAGTATTAACATTTTTATATTGTCCTATTCTTTTCAAATAGGCAAGATTCTATTAGTGTGAGTGTGGTTTTAATGAAGCAGATTTGAATTATCCTTCAAATTACTTCTTCTATCTGAAAACACATGCTAAGATCATGAATATTTCTGCTCATAGAGCTTACCTCTCTTACTTGCCTTTAGGAGAGATAAAGAATGAGATCTAACCTAAGTACCTTAGATCGGGGGTCCTCAACCCCCAGGCCATGGCCCCTTACTGTCTGTGGCCTATTAGGAATTGGGCACACAAGCGTCAGGCGAGTGAGCAAAGCTTCATCTGCGCATGTGCAGGATCTAGGTTGCATGCGAAACCATTCCCCTCCCCCTGTCTGCAGAAAACAATTTTTCTTCTGAAACCAGTTCCTGGTGCCAGAAAAGTTGGGGCCATTGTTTTAGATGATATCTTTTGGGAAATGAGGTATAACAAAACGGTGTGGATTATTCAAACATTTCTGTACATAACTGTGCTCTATCACAAAAATGCAACTATTGAATTAAATGAAACAAGAAGCTGCTGCTTTTAAAGATACTGCCAGACTTTTTCATTAACATGGAAAGAGCAGAACCTAGTTTTCTACACGTGTTACATTTCAGATATTGATAGATTTTTTGGTTTAATGTTCTAGCTGCTAATGTTTAGAACAGAAAGCAAGTGTCTTATTCTGAATTGTCTACAATTATTCTACAATGCTGAAACCTACACCAGATAAATAAATATATACTTATAGTTCTTATAAAAGCCCATAAGGAAGTTTTGAGCACTTTTTTGTAGACTTCAGTTAAATTCAGATTAATCATAAAACAACTAATTTGTGAGAAAGCAGGATTTCTCAATGCAGGGCAGGTTTTGGCATAGGAGAGATATGCCATTTGCCACATGTTTTAGAAAGATCTGAAAAGGATGATTCAAGTGTTCATATAATCAGGCATGGATATTGCCTTCTTCTGAAGCACAGTATGTGCAAAGCCTTAAAGATACTTACAGCCTTTGAATCAAGTTTCTGCTTTCCAATTTGCAAAGCATTCAAGATCTACTGATGTGTTGCAAAAAATAAATTCAATTTCCCTTTTTCATAACTTTCTCAGCAAGCAAATATACCAGTACATTTCAAATGTGTATTTGGTTTTTTTCACTGAATACTTTCATTTTCCCATCTACACAGCGTAAACTTGAAGCTGAACTCCTTCAAATAGAAGAACGTCATCAAGAAAAGAAGAGGAAGTTTTTGGAAAGCACGGAATCCTTTAACAGTGAGCTTAAACGGGTAGGGTCCTCTAGAATATCTCTGTTTCACTAAACATATGTAGAAGTCCCTGGTCTTTTTTCAGTTCAGATGGAAAGAAGACATGCATGTTAAATCTAATATTGTGTGCCCCAAAACCTGTAAGTTGCCTAGGGGCAAAATAATACTTTCACTTTTTAATGTGTTTTATGCTTGGATCCTTGTGCCTAATGTTTTATTGGACATCAGTACAAATGAAGCCTGAGTTCAAAAAAATCTATACATGATGACCTGGATCTACCTGAATCTAGGATTAGTTTTATTTGAAGAGGATTCCTGATGCCTTTTGTAAACATTTTTCCTATGTCCTATTGGATAATTTGGGGGGGGGGGGATGCAAAAATGCCACCGTCTGCACCAATGCTAATTTCAAAATAAAAGAAATATAGATCAAAAAGTTCACAGCTTTTCTAACCAAAGCATTAAGTTGGAAATAGATGGCTTTCCAGATTTTTGAACTAGAATTCCTTGCCTAAGGAAGAAATTTATCTGACAGATACCCATGCACTACATTTTCACTACACTTTATATTTGGATATAACTATTTCACCTGCCGTCTGACTAGCAAATTCAAATGATTGAATATACCTTCAAGTAGAAAATTATCAGGAAAACAATTTCAAATTAACTTTCTGGTCTCATTTAATAGTTTATATTTTCTTTCTCTTTACCTGCCTCTTCCCTTCAGTAGGGTAATATTGCATTCTGTGTATTCACATCCTTCATCTGAGACCGGGATACAGTTTATGTATTAAGTGATACATGACCAAAGATAGTTCATTTATTATACTTGGTGAAGTTTCCTGTGGATACTCTTATAAATATGTATTTTAGCCTATTTTTAGAACACTGTGATAACTTCCAGTTAGACATGTCTGAGATTACATTGTAAGCAAACTGTTGAATTCTCCTTAGATTTCCTACTTCTAAAGTTGCTCATTTTTCCTTCAAAGAAAGATCTTTGTGAAGTGATGATAAAAAGTTTATCTGTAGATATTATAACATTGTATAAACTGTCAAAAACAGGTCTAAGTTGTTAGCGAATTGAATAGGTCAATTCATTGCACTCAGTAAAGCTATTGTAAAATGAATAGTGTTGACTAAGAATTACAGATTACCTTCAGATTTATAATTGAATCACTACAGAATTTTTCAGCAGGTTTAGACCTGTCTGGTTAGAAATTTCACTATTGGCAAATAAGTTTCTTCATTGTCTGGCATGTGGATTAGCCTCCTTTGTTCCTTCTCCAAATTCTGTGTTCTTTTGGTACTTGGCTTTTCCATTTTGCCATGATATATTTGGCACAGTTGTATTGCTTATAATAAAAATGATGCATTTGTTGTTTTGGAATTACAGTATATGGGACAGTAAATGTTATGGAGAGTCAGACTAGAAACATATAGTTGTGTTTTCAACCTCTTAACACTTCTGGGATTTTAGTATAGAGTACTATATTATCATTTTCTAATGAACTTGTTTTTCTTGAGTTTAAACCCAGCTTATGCAAGGAGTATTTTATTGGCAAAGTTGCCATACTGCCTATGGAGTAGATGGGTTGTTATAAAGCCACTTTGTGAAGTTTTGGTAGAAAATGTTTTGAATAGTATTATTGGTAGTCCATGACTTAAAACCATTCACCATTCACTGTTCGAAATTACAACGGCACTGAAAAAGTGACTTATGACTGTTTTTCACACAACTATAGCAGTGTTCACATGGTCATGTGATCAAAATTCAAACACTTGGCAACTGGCATGTGTTTATGATAGTTGCAGAGGTCCGAGGTCATGTGATCACCTTTCTGACAAGCAAAGTCAATAGGGAAGCTAGATTCATTTAACAACCATATTAGTAACTTAACAACTGCAGTGGTTCACTTAACAACTGTGGCAAGAAAGATAAAATGGGGCAAAATTCCTTTAACAACCGTCTTGCTTAGCAACAGACATTTTGGACTCCATTGCAGTCGTAAATTAAGGACTGCCTGAAGTAGGATAAGAAAATATTCTGATAGGAGCCCTGGATTGAAAAGTGTCTTGTTTCTTTCCCTTCTCTTGCTAGCTGTGCAGCCTGAAGGTAGAAGTGGACATGGAGAAAATTGCAGCAGAAATTGCACAGGCTGAAGAACAAGCCCGTAAGCGGCAGGAAGAAAGGGAGAAAGAGGCTGCAGAGCAAGCTGAACGCAGTCAGACCAGCATGGGCACTGAGGAGGAGCAGGCAGCCAGCAAGACAGAGGAGAAAAAAGAAGAGGGAACTCCTCCCATGGAAACAGGTGATTGGAGTGGAGGGTAACCATCAATCACATATCAGAGATGAAGAGAAAATGGTGCTTTTAAAAACGATCTTTGGGGAAAATTAATTTAATAGAGGACCAGTTTATAAAGTAGACTCATTTTTCAGCCATGTGCAGAAATTGTTCTCTTCCTTCCATAGATATCAAATAATTGTGCTAATCTTTTTCAGAGATGATACTTTTAAAAACCTTTATAATGTATTTTCAATAAAAGTAGAAAATTTGTGAAGTGTTCCCTGACATCATAGCCCTCTCTCAATGCCTAGGAAGCCAGAAGTTCATTTCCAGAAAATGAAATCATAGGTCATGCATTTCCGAGATGGAGGCTTATATTTATTTTAAGTACTGAAGGTGGAATTTGTCTTAATTCAGATGGGCAATTTGGGACAAGGGAGAAAACCACTCTTCATGAATGGGTGTGTCTTGTATCTGTTTAACATCTCATTCATATCTCTGATCTCTCCAGTTAGAGCTCTTTTCAATTTACCACATTATTGAATTTGACTGTATTTTACTATTCAGGTAGTCCTCAACTTACAACCATTCATTTAGCAACCATTCGAAGTTACAACGGCACTGGAAAAAGTCCTCACACTTACAGTCATCACTACATCCCCAAAGTCACATAATCAAAATTCAGGTGTTTGGCAACCAGCATATGTGTGCAATGATTGCAGTATCCCAGGATGATGTGATTGCCATTTGCTGTCTTCTCAGCCCGGAAGCAAAGTCAAGGGGAAAGATGGATCCATTTAACAACAACATGATTAACTTACCAACTGCAGTGATTTGTTTAACAACTATGGCAAAAAAGGTCATAAAATGACTCACTTAACAACCATCTTGGTTAAGGGAAATTCTGGTTCCAAATATGGTTGTAAGTTGAGGACTACCTGTATAACCCCTACACAGCCAACCAACCCACCTACAGCAACTAAGCCAGCACTCCACACACCCCCATCAATATTTATAGAGAGACGGCAGCTCCGATCACACTTTGCTCGCACAAGCACGAAGCCGAAGACCCCAGCCTGAAGATGACGAGTCGGACCTCGTCAAAACGTCGCCAAGATACTCTCAATCTTACACGGGAAAAGACCCGAATACGCCAAGACCTGCATACCTGTACCCGTGAAAAACTACGAAAACAAATATATATATAAGGAACAGAATGGTCTGCAAAACAAGAATGTTAATATAAAAAGGGTACAAAACAAGGGTGTCCATTATCTCCATTGCTATTTATATTAACTTTGGAAGTGTTGAATAGAATTATTAGACAAGACCCAGAAATTAAGGGAATGGAGATAAAAAATGAACAATACAAACTACAAGCATTTGTGGACGACTTGGTATTCATACTTGTAGAACCCTTGGAGACAAGCCCTAAATTACTGAAAAAGATAGAAGAATTTGGAGAAGTAGCGGGACTGAAAATAAATAGAGAAAAGACCAAGGTTATAGTTAAGAACTTCAGAGATAAACAGAAAAGTCAATTGTCAGGAAAAATAGATCTCCAGATAGTCAAGAAAATTAAATACTTGGGAATATGTCTAATAGCAATAAAAGAAGACAATTATACAAAATTATTAAAACAAATAAAACTAGACCTGGAAAAGGAAAAAATTACAATTGTCAGTCTTAAGAAGAATAGCTATGGTCAAGATGAATATCTTAACAAAATATTGTTTCTATTTCAAACAGTACCTATAAAATTAGAGAAAAACATTATTTGATGAGTTAAACACATTGACTTTGAAATTCATCTGGCAAAGGAAAAAAAACTAGAATCAGATTGAAATTGTTACAAGAATCTAAAGAAAATGGAGGCTTTGGATTCCCGGACTGGACTTTATACTACCAAGCATGTGCATTAACGTGGTTAAAGGAATGGATTATTCTTGGACACAAAAGACTACTATACTTAGAATGACATGATTTGCAGTTGGGATGGCATGCCTTTTTATAGATACTTTCATGCCTTTTCATAGATACTTTCAAAACCACTATGTAAGAAATGCTTTATTTTTAACATGGGAAAAGATAAAAGTGAAAATATATATGAAAATTCCAGGGTGGCTTTCAACAATGGAAGTGTTCACTCACCCTAATTTAATTAATCCTGAGAAAATCTTAACATACAAATATATTTTGAATATTGAAAGGGAACCAAACAAGAACTGGAAAAACAGGGCAGCAACTTATGGTAGCCTCATTTATAAATACAAACAAGATATGAGAAAGATAAAATGTATGGTTTCTATAAAGAGCAGACAATGTTTGAACAGATACTATTAACATCAGACAAAAAACTGATTAAGAAATTGTATAAAATTTTGTTAAACTTAAAGATGGAAGATGAACAAGTAAAAGAAATGATAACATGGGCTAAAAACTTTGGGCACAATATAGAGTTAGAAAACTGGCAAAATCTTTGGGAAAGAAACTATAAAATAACAATGGCAGCTGCATATAAAGAAAATCTGTACAATTTTTTTTATAGATGGCACCTACCACCGGCCAGACTAGCAAAAATATTTAAAAATATGTCTAGCAATTGTTGGAAATGTAGGCAAAAACCAGGCATGTACTATCATCTTTGGTGGATGCCCTAAAGCAAAAGAATTTGGACAAAAATTCATACTTGGTTGAAAAAATGTTAAGAAAGCATATAGATTTTAAACCAGAATTATTTTTATTAGGTATAATTACAGGAAAATATGAGAAAGAAAATGTATATTTAATGGTACATGTACTAACAATAGCAAGAATTGTTTACACGCAGAATTGGAAAAATGAAGAAATGCCTTCTGAAGATGATATAATCAAGAAAATACTACAATGTGCAGAAATGGACAGGCTCACATTGAAGATTAAAGAAAAAGAAGATACAGAGTATTTTCAAATATGGGATGTATTTTACCAGTGGCTGGAAAGACAGGGTGGAGATCAGGATTTTACTACATGTTATTAAGATAAGACCCAGACAGCGCGTTGTTTATGAGGCATTTATAAAGTGTAAATTGATTTTAAAAAACGAATAATTTGTTTGTTTTTTTAAAAAAGAATATTCTGCAAACCATTGATCATCGAGCTAACAATATGTATACCTGATAGTTTTTAAGACCCCCTTTTTTCTCTGCCTACTAGTCATTTATTTGCTTGTTCTCTTGTTCTTGAAAAATATTCTAGTAATTCAAATTAAGAATATCACTGCTTTTTTTTGTGTGTATGACAGAAGAACCTCCTCCAGAAGAAGCTATTGAGAATCAGCAGAATGGCGAAGGGACGTCCACTCCTGAAGACAAGGAGAGTGGGCAAGAAGGTGTTGAAAGCATGGCAGAGGAAGGAACAAGTGATAGCAATACTGGTTCAGAAAGCAATAGCGCCCTAGCTGAAGAACCCCCAGCTGATCCAGCAACTTCAGAAGATGGTGAAAAGAAAGAGTAAACAAAAACAAAGTCACTTCCTTCCATATAGGTCTTCACTTTTTTAAAAGATTCGTGAGTTGTAGTGGAGTTGATATGTAAACTGTCATTAGTATTGTTGTAAGTTGTTTGTTTCACAATATAGTCCATGCATTTTTTTAATCTATATCAGTGGTTCTCAACCTTTTTAATGCTGCGACCCCCAACCAATCGTAAGTCGAGGACTAAACCGGTCGTAAGTCGAGGGCTAAGCCGGTCGTAAGTTGAGGACTACCCAACCGGTCGTAAGTCGAGGACTTTCCCTGCCCGGGAGCGCCGCACATGCATGGTTCCGCCCCCTGCGCCAGCCGAGGCGTAGCTGGCAAGCGGCAGAGACAGAGCAGGCCGACCACCAGCTAGCCCAGCTCAAGGGAGGTAAGGCACCCGCCGGAAAAGGGGAAAGAAAATGGCAGACAGCCTTGCTTGGCGACCCCCGTGAAATGGTCGATCGACCCCAAATGGGGTCGCGACCCACAGGTTGAGAACCGCTGATCTATATGCTATGATAAAAACTGAATAGTTACCCAACAATATGATTTACAGGAACAGCATCATATTTCTTAAAAAAACAATTTAGCTTTAATTGATTTTGTTAGTTTCCTATATCTAAGCCTTTGAAAAGTTACTTTGTTCTCGGTTAGAAGTGGACTGCTTAGGGTGAGATTTAACTAGTCCAAATTATAGCTGCTTTCAGACCTGATCAATATTCTTACTTATGGAAACTGTAGAATTTAAATAACTTGCTCATTTTCAACAAAAATCTCCCATTTCTATTACATACAAAACAAGTGCTATATTGCACCGTGCAGTTCATTCAAAATCAGATTTTTCTGGCTCTCCGTATATTTTTAAAATATTAATTTTAAATCTATAATAAAAATAGTATGTGCAACTACACAAAAGAAAAAATGCATCAAGACAAGTACATAAAAATCATAGGATGCCTTATTCTCCTGATAGTTGCTTGTTTTGGGATCTATAAAAGAAAAACACCTGCACTATTGCATATGCTAAAGACTTTCAGCACTAAAAGCCAACATTGATAAAATAATATCTCTAATTTCTGTACTTCTACACCCCAAAGGCTTTCATCTGTCTTTCACTGCATACCTTGCTTGTTTGCTTTATTATTTTTTCTCCCTTGCAGCAATACAGTCTCTTGTGCAAGCAGAACACATATTCTCTCAAGGCACATGACTCTTTAGGCCATTCTTGTCCAAAATGTGATTGCATTATTCACTTTCATTATGTTCAGAGTAATGTGGGATTCTTTTTGGAGGGCTCTCTTCCGCTTTCCCAACAATACTCTTTGATGCCTGGGTTGACAATGATTTGATGCAAGGGTGTGGTAGAACATAATTCCTGGGAGTTGCTTAAAGCTTATCACATTTTCTCCTTCACATCTGTACTAAGCAGCAAAAGTATAATGTAGTTTTCACCAAACAATTCTCTGACAATTGAAGCCTGAAATATTTCTTGCATCTTCATGTAGTTCTTTTTTTTTTTTTAAGCATGAGCCATCAAAGTTTTGATTTAGGGTTAAAATCTCCAAGGAATTTAAGTAAAAGATGGTAACTTTAACTAAAGAAAGGCACTAGGTTCCTAATCCGTTGTTGGTTTATAGATTTGTAGTGGCTTTTGTTTAGATTCTTTCTTTTTACTCTGTTTATTCAAAATGTTTTTTGATATAATAAACCAATACTTGTTTTAAAAGAATGAAATAACTGCAGTAGTCTGTTCTTGTCTTGGATCCGCTGATAGTAAAGTGCTGTTTTCTTGCAAAGAGAGAAGTAACACCAAACGAGAGAGATTTAAAAAAACAGAACTCCTTGCAGTAAACCAACTTTCATTGGTGCCAGTCCAGTCTTGGGACATAATGGTAGGGGAGAATATATTTAAAATATGTCCATTCAGTTCAGTGAGAAACTACTGAGCCTCATAATTGTGGTTGAGCCAGAACTATTCACAATATTTGAAATATTTTCAATATTTCTAACAAGTACATGCCTTTCTCCTTATTTGTTTTGCATTTTTTAAAAATTGTTCCTTGCAGAAAAAGGCTTGTATATATTTCCATAATTTTCTCTCACATCTGTTCCCAGCTGGTTTGTTGTTGAGGATACTGTCAGCCAAATTTGATGTGCTCAGCAAAAACAACTTTTTTATCCCAATTATTGAGTGGTCCTGAGTTGTCTAGTAAGTGGTTTCCCTGTGTCCATAATATGTGTCAGAAACCCCTTCAAACTTTCTTTTCTGGGCTCTGCCATTCTAGTGGGAGGGAGGAGATTTGTCTCTGCTGGGAGGGGGGCTTGGGGCTGTTAAAAAAAAACCACTAAGCAAAACTCTAAATATTCTCACAAGAAAATGTTAGGATCATATTTGTGCCCATATTATACTCCCCAAATCAAAACAATATATTTTTGATGGCTGTGTCAAGACAACCATTTAGATCAGCAAAAACCTGAATAAAATAAATTTGTTGGATTGAGGTAATAAAATAAGCATCTTGGATGCAAATGCTTCCTAACTTTGGCACAGTGTCTTGGCAATAAGATATATGGCTTGGAAGAAATACGGATTGGATTTGCGTAACGCACTTCAAATGATTATTAATGTGCCCATTTTCTTGGTTTGCACAACATATTGAATCATAAATTAATCGAACAGACCAACATGTCAAACCACAAAAGAACCTGATTACAATTAAGACTGAGAAAGCTTATACTGTTTTTTAAATGTATTCACTACAGCTAAATGCTGAGTAAAGGTATGTGAAACTACTTACAGAATGAGGCACAGAGGACAATAGTTACTCTGAACCTGCAAATGAGGGCTTTGATCTTACAGTTGAATTCTGTATCATGGAGGCGGGATTCATTCACATTTCTAAAATTCTTATTAAACATCTTGTGTATCTTTACTCTTAAATTCTTCAAGCGGCAGGCAAGCCCCCTTGGTGCAGTAACCCTGAAAAGCTTGAGACTCTCACCTGCAAGATACATATTTTTTAATGATGACTTCAATTTGTTTAGTAAAAGATTGTGTCATGATGCCCAACCCAGATTACATTCCTTTTTGACTTACCAAAAACAAGTACCAGGGTAATTTGTGTCCCTCCACCTACACTAACTTTCTTGCCTCACTTCTTTTCCCAAGAACCTCAAGGCAATGTACACAGTTTCTTCACTTCTAAACAATTGTGTAAAGTAGGTTAGACTGTGAGAAAGAATAAATAACTTGGCCCAAGATCACTCAGTAACTTTCATGGTTGATTAAGAATCTAAAATTTTGTCACCCATAGTCCTAGCTTGATACAGTAACTCAGTCTTCAAACCAAATTCTTCCAAATGTTTTGATCTGTAACTCCTATCATTGGTCATCATGGCTGATGATGATGGAAACTTTAGCCCAAAATAATTGGAGGGATGTAGATCAGTGAAAGATACTGTAATCATTGCATCATGCTATTCTCCCAATTCTACTGATGTAGATTTATTTTTGGAGATATTTATAATACTTTCTGAAGTAGTTGTATCATTTTGCACAATTGCTCCTTGAAACTTGGGTGTGGAGTAAATGATTTTTTGTAAGCACCTGAGGCAACTTTCAGAGTGTATGTGTTCTTATGTAAAACCCCAGGAGGAACTGGCTCCTGAAGACAGTTTAAATCCATGCTATCAAAATTTCATTAACATTCTCTCCACCCAAAGCTCTGGTAGTCTTGTTCCAACATGTTCCTATTCTGTCTTGACTTCACTAACTTCAGGTATACTCAACATGGGTTTCTGTTCCTGCTTCTCTCCTCCCCCCCTCCCCCCCACCCACTGTCATATAGGAGCCAGATGAAGTTTTGTGGTAATATCAAACTAGTCTGGAGTATCAAATTGTATACAAGGGAATTAAGAACAAATGATAAAACTAAGAGTAATTTAGGACATTTGTGGTTTTGCTGTAAGGGTTGAAACTGGTTATGTTAAATTGTCCAAGATCAAAGTGAAGATTTACATGGGAAGCTCTGTGGAATCTTATATACGTAAATGTAAATGACAGTGGGAAATGGTTGTGATCCACTGATTTTCTTCTTGTGCTTAATGTCCAGAATTAAATATGCTTATCAAATTAGTGACTTTATGATGACCTAGAATTTCCTTGACATTATTTAGGAGATTTAGATTGTAAAAGAACAAGATCAAGGGAATGGATAAATGGTCAGTATAAAGCTTTTGATAGTTTCAAAATAGGGTGTTAATTTTTTACAGTTTCCTTTACATGTATCAACATACCGGTACCTATTTTTGAAAGTGCATCCTCCACTGAATACAAACAGGTATCCATGATTCTTGTATGGCTTTCCGCTTCTATATGTTTCCAAATAATTCTGGAATGCAAGAATAAATCTTGCTTATTTAGAACTGATTTTTCCCCCTTCATGCCAAAGTAATTTGGCTGTTTTAGAGATATGCTGTTTTTCATGCCTAGGTTGAAACTTAGTTGCTTGGCTCCATAATTTATGTCTTGAGCCAGTTTTATATTGTGGAACCATTTGCCATCATCTTCATGGTAGGCAACCTACTGCACCCAAGAATTTTTGATACTTCCCTCAAAAGCCAATTGTGATTCTCAATGTTTAAATTAAAAAATATATTTTTTTCATTTTCTTTTGAAGAGGAAGAGAGAATTCAATATATGAGGCTTAGGGGGGAAAATAATGAAATACCCTCTTTTTTGCTTTAACTGTTTTCTTTCCCGTTGACTCTGTTATGACATAACTTACATGGAATACTCAGCCAAATATAAAATTATTATTAGTCATCCATGAGCTGCCTAGAAAACACAGACTCACGAAAATATACAATTAATACTTTTGGACAAGGGCAAGAATTAGAAACTTAAAAACCTCAAAAGTTATTCTATTCACCTAAGCATACTTCTACCACCAGCAATAGCTTGATTGCAAAAGAAATCAGATAGAGGACCAAAAAGGTTATGGTTTCTTAAATTTACTCTGTTTTCAGATTTAGAAAAATTCTGTCTTTTAAGTAAATAAACGTTGAAAGTGCAAATTTCAAACTTAAGAGCAAAAGCTGCTAAATCTTTACAGTATAGCTGTAAAGCTATACAAAAA